CCACTGCTGCACCCTCAACCTTACTTCATCATAACCTGTTTATTCTCAGCCCATTTACAAGGATTCAACCCTTTCCTTATTTACACGACTTGCTGTCCTTCAAGAACTTGACACTAAGCAACAGTAAATAATAACTTAAGCATTAAAGTGCTGAGAGGAGGGCTGAAGTAGCTAGAAGTCTTACGTATCTCCAGGGGTGTCTGCTCCTAGCAGGGACCCTTAAGAACTTATATCTTCAACTTTGCATTAAACATCTTCTGGTGCCCTGCTCACAGCTAGGTAGCTAGGTCTTTGTACTATTTTAAGTTTCTCATATGTCCCAGACTGGACTTGCATTTAGAAAATTGCAGAAGCATAAAATGGAGACAAGACCCAGAAATCAGGTACAGTATTGCTAAAAAAATTCCTGCCAGTCAAGGCCTGCATGAAAATGGGAGCCTAATACAGCACATTTTATCTAGGACTCCTGCAAACAAGGAGCCATCTATAACCTGGGAGCTGGTCTTTCTTACCATATGCTTTGAAGTACCAGTCATGTTTACATGATGGAGCACCCCATGTAGCCAGAAAGAGGCTTATTGACAAAACATACATTCCTTTCTAGAAGTAAACACACAGTAAGGAGGGAACACAGACATGGAAAGCCATAGAGTGGTAAGGATAGCTAAAAACCTGTTAGCTGAAAATAATCAGGATAATATGTTCCTCATGAAGATGCAGGAATCCTGGCAGTGTAAGCCACTGTGTCACGGCTGGGAGAGTGGAGAAGCTGGAAATGGGCAAAATAACAGAATATCTTTACACAAACACCAGGTTATTACCAATTACATTTGATAAAGAGGTTTGTGGTCCACAAAATGGGGTGCCTATGTTACCACTCAATTTTGGTCCCGATTCTCCGGCAGAGAATAACAGATAAAGACAGTGCATCAATTAGTCTATGTAAGCCAATTTATTAAACATATAACTGCGCCCCGTCCCTAAAAGGCAGATCGGGAGCCCCATCATGCATTGGTAAAATCATTTTATAAGTTTTCTTACACAAAGGACAGTATAGCACAGCATCTCCTATTGGTCTCCTGAATCCTATGGGTGCCTGTTGGCTCATCCTATTGGCCGTGATAGTTGGAAGAAAATATCCAATTTGTCCCAAGTGAGTTAGTGGCTGCCAAATTTGTGAATTTGTGTGACCCATTGTGCAGCTTATCTTTAAATATGTTAATGACGGATTATGAGCCATCTATGTTACAGTCTTTGCCTGAAACGTTGTGAAAATGAGTTATTCTGAGTTGGCCTTGGTTCTCACAAAGCTGTGTGATAATGTAGGAATGTTTCTGTGAGCGCCAAGCAGGAGGGGTCAGGAGTACTACTTTGAGATGAAATGAGAATACAAAATACATTGACTATTGAAAATGCATATAAAGTACAGATACAAAATGTATGTAGACTATCATTATAGTAAGGAAATAGTAAGAAATCATATTTCAATTACAGGTACAAGGTATGATTACCTGTGTAAAATGCTGATTATGAATGTTAAGTACATGTGAATCAAATGTGAATCAAATAGCATGTGTTGTCTTAAATTGTAAACTTCAGAACCTCATCCTTGCCCCCTATCACCTACGAGAGTTAACTAGTCTTTAATGTGTCATGAGACTCCTTGTTGGTTTTGCTGCAACAGACTAACATGGCTACCTACAGCCCTGGAAAAGTTTTACATTTTACATTTTGTCCCAGATTCAGGAAATTAAATTTTTGATGGACACTGGAATTGTTATGAAGTTCAAAACCCTGGTAGCTACACCATACCAACGGAGAATCCCTGTACTTTAAGGTTCCCAGAGGCAATTTTTTTCACAAGACAAATCTACCCCGTTGCAGTAAACCTCAGCCAAAGCTTGCCACCTTTCCTAGTGAGAAGTCCACCATAGTAGGCTGCAGCTACAGACAGCCCGAGAGATTATAATATGTCGTGAGGGCACAGGAGTTTCTGAAATTATTAGGGTTAAGCCTAACAAGACTCAGGCAAGCTGCTCCAAGCTTCCAGAGGGCAAGCAAGAAAGCTCCCACTACTTGCAATAGAAATGCATTCAGGCAGATGGCTATCACATCTGTCTAGTCACCCCTTCACCCATCTGCAACAGATTGTCCTGCTGCAATCAAGCCCACAAAACACTTTGAAATCTGCTCCTGGAACCACTCCAGGAATTTCTTCCTCCCTCTGATTTACATCCTCAGTACATGGTCAGTGTGGGTGTGACTGGTGTTAGCAGTCCGGGAACATCACACAATAAATCATAGGCAGAACTCTGGATCTGCCAGCCCTTCAATGCCTTTGAGTCCTTCACCACACCTTGTCTCCTAGCCTAAATTAGACCAGCTAGACTTACGGTAATTTTCAGTTCAAGTAAACACAGCATAATATCACCTGCCAACTCCCTCCCTCTACAGTACTAGTTCTCTGGAACAGCTGAAAAGTAACACAGAATTTGATAGTGTTGTAATCTACAAATGCTGGATTTGCAGTACAGCCCTTTCCACAATTTGCAGTTTTTACTAGTTCAGTCCAATTGCTCTGTATCTAGGGGAGAAAAGTCTTTTTGCGTTTAATCTGATTAATCCAAAATAAGGAGCTTCCCCTCTCTCTGTTCCAAGAATGGAACTTTCCCCATGTATCCACTTTTGGTGGAAATTAAGGTTTAATTAGGATATATCAATGTGCTCATGTTTTGATTGAGAATACAGGACTAATCTTTGGCCTGAATACTTTATTTCTTGGAGTTCAGTTTTTGTTATAAACCAAAGGGCTTCTACTCCTGTATGGGAATTCATTTCAGAGGGGAAAAATAAAAATGTAGAACTCATGCCTTTGCAGAGCAGATTTATGTATCTCATTAAAATCAAGTCATTAGCTGCAGCATTCAGTCTTAAAGCATAATAGCATGAGTTTTCTTTAAGAGTTAACCAGTGTAACACAAAACCACATGCACAGAGTTGTCTCCCTCTCTCTCTTTCCCTCTACACCAAGAGAAAGAGTAGATACATTTTTATTATGAATATAAATATCTGTGATATCTGCTCCCCGTTCCTTCAAAAGTGTAGCATCTCTATATAGCAAAATAAACATAGGATAAAAAGCAGGAGGTTTTCTGAGAACATTGTCGTACAGTGGTTGGACTAGGACTGGGGAGAGCCAAGTACGAATGTCCACAACCACAAAGTGTTGCAAATGCATAGACTCTCTCTCTCTCAGCTTGACTTAACTCACAAAATTATGAGAATAACATGGAAGAGAGTCATGAACCTCCTTGGGAAAAATTTATATAAATGTATGAAACCAATCAGTCTTCAACTCACAAAATTATGAGAATAACATGGAAGAGTCATGAACCTCCTTGGGAAAATTTATATAAATGTATGAAACCAACCAGTCTTCAATCCCACTTGATCCAGAGGTCAGTGGTCACATATCCTTTTTCTCCTAGGTTATTTGCAACTGATGTTATGATTCTTTCGCTAGCAGTTTGTAGGAGCAGCCAGCGGAAGGTTGTGTAACAGAAAAAAAAGTGTTTGCATAATCTCTTGTCAACAATGCTGGGCATCTGCTCTCACACCTCAGTCCTGTGGAATGTTGGGCCCGGTCCAGCGCACCAGAAGCTCAGGCTGGTCCAAAAGATGCCAGTCAGCTGCAAGGACAACTCAACAGGTCATTCAGGTCCTCCTCCTGAGGCTGCTATTTTGTCAGCAATCCGTCCTCAGCACAGCATAAACAGGAGGCTGTTGACCTCTGTTGGTTGGAATTATCAAATCCACACATCATAAGGGACGAGGAACCTTTTTAGTCTACTCACTGCACTGCACGCAGAGCCATGAATGGCATTTACAGAAGAGCCTGAAAATGGATATGCAAACAAATGAAGCAATTTGCTACATTTCAAAGAAAATTCTGTCTTATGCTGTTGTTGATAGATGGCTTGCTATTATTAAACAGAAATTAGTTATGTGCTCAGTCAAAATTGACTTATAGCAACACTAACATGAATTTCAAGGTGAGATATTTATGGAGTGGTTGTACCAGTTCCACTCTCCCAGTGAGTTTTCATGGCCAAGTAGGGACTCAAACTCTGGTCTCCAGAGCCCTAGTCCATCATTTTATCCACCAAACTGGGTACAATTAGTGGAGTACCTCTGTTTACCTACACTAAACAGAATGGAACTGTCCCAATGTATCCACTTTTGGTGGAAATTAAGGTTGATTAGACATCCCTCAGTCTCGAGAGACTATGGTAACATGCTCTGTATGGAGGACTAGGAACAGTGTCTAGTGTGGCTAATAAGGCCAATTCGAGAGTAACAATCCCTTCCACACTGAAGACAAATACAATCTGTACCCCGCCTAGCTCCCTGATTTTGCTGCTTTTGGGTCTGCCTCTTTGCCTCGGCCTGCTGGACAAGGGCCTCTTCAAATTGGGAGAGGCTGTGATGCACCGTCTGCCTCCAGGCTGAATGCTCAGATGTCAGGGTTTCCCATTTCCAAGGCCTTCAGATCCCGCTTGCAAATATCCTTAAGTTACAATTAGGGTATATCAATGTGCTCATGTTTTGATTGAGGATAGGGGACTAATTTGTGGACTGAATACTTTTTTTCACTGTTTGTTGTAAACCAAAGGGCTTCTACCCGTGTGGGAATTCAGTTTCAAAGAGGTAAAATAAAAATGTAGCACCCATGCCTTTACAGAATACAGTATGTTTAGTATGTATCTCTTTAAAATCAAGACATTAGCTGCAGTATTCAGTCTTGTTAGTCTGTGCAAGCATTATAAATAATCAATCAATCAATCAAACAAACAAATAAATAAAATCAATTAAACCTGGTGGCACCTAAAAGACTGTCATATTTTAACAGTTTTGTGGACCACTCCACTTCATTAGATATAAGAAATAGATTTAACACAGCATCAAAACACAGGGATTGTGGTTGGTTGCTTGGTTGACAAGAGTCAATGGGTATTGAACAGTGGGGTGATAGCCTCTTTTATATACTGGTATATTCCATATGAGCTTGTGCTGGAAAAGGATATAAGAACCTCTGTCATGAACAACAATGGTAGAACACGTTAATTATACTGAGGAGACTGGCCATTTTGTTTCACATTATTATCAACCACTTTTTAAGCATCAGTACATAAGAACTGCTGGATAGCTCAGGGGTTTAGGAATCTGGCTGTGGAGCCAGAGGTTCCGGGTTCGAGTCACCCCTGTGTCGGCTGGGGCTCAATTTGATGGTCCATAGGGTGGGTCCCTTTTAGCTCTGCAGTCGTAAGATTAAAATGATGATGTTTAAGATTCTAAGGAACAGACACTTATGACAAATAATCTAACACTTTCCACGTAAAATGCTACTTCAAATCCTTAACACTTCTCCTGCACAACAGCAATGACGTCAAAAGAGCAACTACGACGTCATACGTCTCCCTCCTCCTTCGCCTTTTCCCTCAATTTTAGCCCATGCCAAAACTCCTCCGCGATCACGTGTGCCAGTGGCCGAGAAGGCGGGAGAGGCATTCGGACTACAACTCCCAATATCCTCTGGGTGGCCAATGGCAGCACGGCCCAGGGGTGGAGAAGCTTGCCGTCGCGAGCAGTTAGTGTGAGCGAGGTAAAGGTTGGGTGTCTCGCGCCGGCGGCCGTTGGGAGGGTGGAGCGGGGGCCCCTCCCCCCCGGGCCCCACCGTACCCCTCCCATTAACCCTTCGTTGCGGCGAAGCGCGGAGGGAGGAAAAAAAGCCGCCCAGGTGAGGAAAATAAAACAGAGAGAAGGAGAGGGAAGGGGGAGGGGGAGGGAGAGAAAAGACATCGCGAGGCCGAACGGCAACGAAGGGGGAGGGGCGGGGAAACTCAGATCCTTTAAAGGGGAAGTCTCTTACTTAAAGGGGCATGTCTCAACTGCGTAGGTATTTTTGCCTTCCGATAGAAGAGTCTGGTTCCGAAAGCGGATGTATAGCGGAACTGTGTGGAGGCGTTTGTAATTAAAGGCGCGGAGGTTCATCCCTGCAAGATATTTCGTAGGCCCCCCAGCCCCCGCATAACGCTAGAAACGAAGGCTATACATTCGGTATATGCCCTGGGGAACTCTCACCACGTGTGTGAAATAGGGATCCAGGATTAGCTGTGCAAAGGGCAGGTTTATAGTGGTTTTTACATTTTCCCCCCTGAATTTTCGCACAGGGGCAATATCAACCTTTTTTAAGTTCCGCGGGATCCTTGGCCTTGTTTTTGATGGCGCTGTGAGGAGCAGTGAGTCAGATAAACGCACAGAGAGTCCTCCCCCCTGCGTAGGTTTAGGCAACTGGAAAAGATTGTGGGGTCTCTTATAATATTGTAGAGATGACAAGGGGGAGGGGTTGTCTAAAAAGGAAATGCTCCTTTGGTTCAGCCTCCTCTTGCCACCCTCTTTTTTCTTCAAACTACACAGCAAAATCCAATGTTTGACTTAAGAGGGAGTGTAAATATTTTAACTGGCTGGATCGCTAAGTGGTTTATGCATCTGGCTGCAGAGCCAGAGGTTGGGAGTTCGATTCCAGCCTGTGCAGCCTTGGGCAAGCTGCACAATCCCAGGACACCCCTAGAAAAAGGGAACAGTAAACCACTTTTGAGTGCTGTATGCCTAGAAAGCCTTGTAAAGGGTTTCCATAAGTCAGACTTGACTTGATGGCACATGATTATTATTGTTATAAATAAACAGTGACTAAACTAATACACTTTTTTGGCTTTATTATGGACCCAAGAGACCTATTAAACTTAATGCAATTTACATACATGGTGATCAACAGGCCTCATTCATTTCAGTGGATCTCTGACTTTGGGAGTGAGAGTGGATTTACCAAATTTCTTCCTTAGTGAGGCACAAAAGCTCAGGCAAGTCACTCTTTTTCAGTCTTAACTACCTTGCTGTAGAAAGAAGACAAGCTATGCTTGAGCTCGCTAAGGGGAAAGGAGGGTAAATAGCTAATAAATGATAATGCCTCTGTTCTAGTGGGAACCATTCAAATATTGCATTGTAAACTGTTCAGTGATACACTGTGCTGTATGGCTCAGTGGTTTGGGTATCTGGCTGTAGAGCCACAGGTTGGGAATTCAATTCCTCACCATGTACCTGTATCCCAAAAGAGCCAGCCTTGTGTGGCCTTGGACAAACTGTAAAGTCCCAGGATATCCCCTGGAAAAGGGAATAGTATACTGATTTGGATAACTTTCTACCTAGAAAACCTTGAAAACGATTGGCATAAATCAACATTGACTTGACAGGACAGACGCACACACCTATTTGAGAACTGTAGGATCAACTGTCTTTAAGTAGCAAATCTGTACAGGGTGATTTTACCCCCTCGGTATGGGTTGATAATTGCAAGATATAAGATGTCCTTAAGAAAACTGATATAAGAAATTCAGCCATTTTTTTGTGAAGAACTAACTCCTGGAGTGTATAAGATGAATGCTAGTTCTTTCAGCTGCCACTGCATGTGAAAATGAGGGGGTAAATTTACTGTGTGCAGATGTTCCTTGCAAAGAACAAGAGAAGTGAGAAGCAGTGCAGGGCTGAAATCTGTGAGGATTGTGAGCCTGCTGTACATCTCTGTCTCTGTTCCCAGCAGGTGAAAATCCGAAACCATGGTGGGAGCTCAGCAGCTAGAGATGCAGGCAGCAGCCGTGCCAGCCGTGACCCCCTCAGGCAGTGGCCCTGGTGGCAGCGGTAGTGACCACCAGTATGAATGCCTGGAATGTGGCAAAGTGTTTAAGTGGTCGTCCCGCCTCATCCACCACCAGCGGACTCACACAGGCGAACGCCCTTACAAGTGCTCGGAGTGCCCTAAAGCATTCAAGGGGTCATCAGCTTTGCTGTACCACCAGCGTGGTCACACCGGTGAGCGGCCGTACAAGTGTGGTGAATGTGGTAAGGCATTCAAACGGTCGTCCTTGCTCCAGATCCACCAGAGCGTGCACACAGGTCTGCGCGCTTTCAAGTGCGCTCAGTGTGGCCTGGCTTTTAAATGGTCCTCTCATTACCAGTATCACCTACGGCAGCATACTGGGGAACGGCCCTACCCCTGCCCGGCATGTGACAAGGCCTTCAAGAACTCCTCGAGCTTGCGTCGGCACCGCCACACACATACAGGCGAGCGCCCTTACGTCTGCCCGATTTGTGCCAAGGCCTTCACTCAGTCTACCAACCTGCGGCAGCATCTCAGGGTGCACACTGGCGAGAGGCCCTACCGGTGCCAGGACTGTGGGAAGGCCTTCACCCATTCTTCTAACCTGGCGCTGCACTGCCGATCGGCGCACGCTGCCCGCCCTGCCCACACCTGCGTGATTTGTGGAAAGGCTTTTGCGTCTGACAGCTACCTGCAGCGCCACCTGGAGACTCATGCCGACGTTGCACCACCAGCCCAGCTCTTCCTGGAAGAACCGACCACAACGGTCGAGATGTTGTTTCGATGTAGCATCTGCCATCTCACCTTCCCTTTGGAGGAGCAGCTGCTGAGCCACCAGGAATCACACTTGGCCCCGGCAGATCCTCTGCCACCCCCAGCCCCAGCCATGGCAGTGCAGGAAGAAGCGGCATCAGTAACATCTCCTGCTCCCTCCCTGGCTTGCTCTGTGTGCAATAAGACTTTCAAGAGCACGGCAGGGTTAACACGGCACCAGCAGACTCAGCATTCCTCTGATCGCACCTACACTTGCATGGTGTGTGAACGCTCTTTCCCGGCACTAGCCAGCCTCTTGGGCCACCAACGTTCCCATCCCCCAGCTGAACAACGACTAGAGGAGGCTGAGGTGACCTGTCCGGCACAAGCCGAGCCATTGCCCGCGGCCACTGTGACACCTCCTCCGCCCCCTCCCCCACCCCCTGAACGACCTTATGTGTGTGGAGAATGTGGGAAATCTTTCAAGGGCTCCTCCGGGCTGCGCTATCACCTGCGCGACCACACAGGAGAGCGTCCTTATGCTTGCAATGAGTGTGGGAAAGCCTTCAAGCGCTCCTCTCTGCTGCGTATCCACCAGCGCGTGCACACGGGGCTGCGCGCCTTCACCTGCCCCACCTGCGGGATGGCCTTTAAATGGGCTTCTCATTACCAGTACCACTTGCGCCAGCACACCGGCGAGCGCCCGTACGCCTGCCAAGACTGCGGGAAAGCCTTTAAGAACACCTCGTGCCTTCGGCGGCACCAGCAGCTGCACACCGGCGAGCGCCCCTTTGCCTGCCAGACCTGCGGGAAGGCCTTCACCCAGACGTCCAACCTCCGGCAGCATCAGCGGGTACACACTGGCGAAAGACCTTACTATTGCCGGGATTGTGGCAAGTCCTTCACTCACTCCTCCAACCTGGCACTGCACAGACGCACCCATTCCCGAGAGCGCCCCTTCCAGTGCCCGGTTTGCTCCAAGGCTTTCGTCATGGCTTCCTACCTACAGAGACACTTACGTACCCATGGCAGTACTGAGGCAGCCCGTCGCCCAGCACCAGCCTCACCTACTGCCACCCAGGAGGTGCAAATCATACCCAACATGCAGGCCACTCTGAACGTGGAGTTGAGTGGCAGCCCAGCCCCAGCGGTTCCTTCCAACACCCAGACTTTCCTGCTGGTGCAAACAGCACAGGGCTTGCAACTTATCCCCAGTGTACAGCAGCCGCAGCCGCCACCTCCACCACCACCCCAAAATTCACCCACCAAACTCATTTTGCTCCCTAGTTCCCAGGTGGTATCAGCAACGCCTACCACTTCGGCCAGCTTTACCCTTTTGCCAGGTACTCCTGCCACCCCTACCAAAGCAATCCCACTCCGCCAAAGTAAGGGCAAGAAGCCTGTACCACCACCACCGGCGCCCAGTAGCCAGAATATCATTCTCTTGCCTGTTGCTACTGGGCCTAACATGCAGTCCCTCCCAAATGTGCAGATCCAAAAGACAGCAGGATTGCAGGCTAGTGGACAGAATGTTATTTTCCTTCAGAGCCTGCCAGAACAGCAGACGGGCACCGTGCAGATTCAAACCGTGCCGGCCACTCTGTCATCAGGAGCCATCCAGATTCAAACTGTGCCCCAGTCCCAACCACTCCAAAGCCTTCCTGCTCCTCAGCAAGGAGGCACGCTGCAAATTCAAGCCCTGCCGGCCCCGCCACAGACGGGCACAGTTCAGATCCAGGCACTCCTCCATTCTCAACAGCCTGGCGTTGTGCAGATCCAAAGCCTGCCTCTCCCCAAGAGCACTTTCCAGATCCAAAGTTTGCCCACCTCCCAGCCGACAGGCACAGTGCAACTCCAAAGCCTGCCCACTTCTCCCTCAACTGCTAAGGTGCAATTTCAGACTGTTCAGACTTCTCCAAAAGCAAACACTGTGCAATTCCAGACTGTGTCATCTTCCCAGCAGGTAGGGACCCTCCAGCTCCAAACCTTCCAGCCTTCGCAACAGGCAGGCCCCCTTCAGATCCAGACGTTGCCATCTCCCCAACAGTCCAGCCCTCTACAAATCCAGAACCTGTCCCCTTCAAATCAGTCCATGAGCGGTGTTGAAATCCAGGCTCTCTCACCTTCCCAACAGCTGGATGGCACGATTCAGATCCAGGGCTTGGTGTCTTCCCAGGAAAGGCAGCAGCTCCAGCCTTCAGAGGAAGTGGCCAGTGTCCAGCTTCGGACTTTGGGCCCTCCTCAGGAAAAGAGTGAAGGGACTGCTCTGGCCAGCTCCCAGGAGCTCTCCGAGGTGGACCTCCAAGAAGGACCCAACATGGAAGAGGAAAGCCAGAATCTAATTGTAGTCCAGAATTCTCCAGGGGAAGAACTTCTGGGACCAGTGAGTGAAGTGGAGAGCTTCGAGGGGGTAGAGGACATGCACTTTGAGACTCTGCAGACTGAGGAAGGGGTTCAGAATGTGTTGGTGCTGAGAGGGGCTGGGGGGGAGCAGACCCGATTATGTGTGCAGGAGGTGGAGAATATTCAGACAGTGCAGGAGCTGCCTAGCCTTCAGCTTCAAGCTCCTGAAGGTAGCTCAGGGGCTGGGCAGAACCTCCTGATCATCCGCAGTGCGCAAGGAGAACAGACCCTCCAGGTGCTGGAGAGTGTGCCCACACTGCAGGTCAGCAGCCCTGACAGCACTCAGCCTGCGGTGGAGAACAGCAGCAGCTCCCAAATGGTGCAGCTTCTGCAAAGCCCAGTAACGTCCCAAGGCCTGCCCTCCATTCAGATTGTGCAGACAGTCCCCAGCATGCAGCTTGTTCACACTTTCTGAAAGCAGTGGTGTCCCCACACAGAGATCTATTTTGGAACATCTGCTGGGACCGAGTCATTCTCTTACAAGCACTTGAGATGGGTGAGCCCTTCCTCGTGGCTGCTGTGATTAATTGTCACCAGGCAGGGTGGCTCCTATCTGGGTAACTTCAAGACTCTTGGATGGGGTTGTCGGCTGTCCAGTTGAACTGGATTTGGGTTGTTCAGGACAAAGTCTTTCTTGGTGCAATAGCGGTTAATTCAAACTCATGGCTGCAGGTCTGAATCACATCCTCTGGTTGTTCCCAACCCTGCTTACGTGTAGGCTGCTGCTGCTCCTGTCCCTGCAGCCACAGTGATACTCCACCATGTCTCCCTGAGCACATGTCTGTCTGTATTGCATGACAGGAAGGAGGAGCCAGTCCCATCCTTCTGTCCCAGATCCACCTCTCCTTTTCCTCTGTGCTTAAAATATTTGGTTTATGACAGGAAGGAGGAGCCAGTCCCATCCTGTCCCAGATCCACCTCTCCTTCTCTGTGCTTAAAATATTTGGTTCTGGCAAGATCCAGATTTCTGCAGCTTGATGGATAAAAGACTACGCATGACAGCCAGGATGTCTGTCTTTTCTCACCGCATAAGACAGGGAATGTGATTGGTGGATTGCATTTGGATGTTTGGCTTCTCCCCGTTCCCTTTTATGTTACAACATTGGGCCAGAGTGCTGTGGAGCAGTGAGCAGTGTATGCTCTTTTTCGTGTAACAGAATTTGGGGAAAGAATTTGGGGAGTCTTTCATTCATTCTGGATGCTGTAGGAGGCAGGCCTATAAGCAGTCACAGCCTACATCTTCCAGCCACACTGTCTTTCCCAGTTAAGTCCTATTCCCCACTACAGTCCCTCCCTCACTGTGTGCAGAACCACATTTCTTCCTGAGTGGACTCCACTTCCTGGTGCTAAAAAACGTAAGACGGCCCCAGATTTTTCAGGCCTAAAAGGAAAAATAAAAGACTGCTTTGAAGCACCTTTGCCTTCTTTCTTTAGTCTTGTACATCTCTGTTACACTTGCAGTATCTTTCCTCCCGTCACGTGTCCAGGCCTAGGCCTATGCGGTACCTACGTACTAAAAGTTCTTGTTGGGTTTTAGCATTACTGGTATTCTGACAAGAGGATGCCCAGGCCCGATGAAGAGAGTCACAGAACATGGGAAGTGGCCTTACCATTAGTTCCTCTACTTTAGTAGTGTCTGTACTGACTGGCAGTGGCTTCCCAGAATTTCAGACTGCATTCTGTCCCCAAAAATGTCAAGAAATCAGACCTGGGGCAGAGAATATTCTGAACTAGTTTGGGACAGCTCTTTCCTTAAGTTCCAAAAGGAGAATAGTAACACTGAGGGCAGAGCTGTTTCATCTGCCACCATATCCTGTCAAAAGTACAGAGCTTTATTTTAGTTATTGTTGATAGGAGTGTTAACATGCAACTCCAGAAGTGACCACGAGCTGCACAAATGGCAGGTTAAGGCAGTCATCTTAAAATATTTGCAGGTGAGAAACAGTAGCTAAGCAATTAGTGCAAAGTCAGGTGAACAGTGTGTGAACAGTTTTAATTGTAATGTTACTAGTAATTTAAAAAACACCTTTCTCAAAATGACTGACCTTTACTTTGGGCATATCATGAGAAGACTGGACTCACTGGAAAAGCCATTGTTCCAACATCAAATGTTAGGAAAAGTGGAAAGCAGTAGGAAAAGAGGAAGCTCTAACAAGAGATTAATGTTACTGAAGGAAACCATGGTGTTTTGTTTGCAAGATTTGAGAAGGGTACCAATCAGAAGACATTAACTCATAGGATCACTGTAAGTCACAAACAGTGGCAGATAACAGCAAAAACTGATTCTTTATTGCAAATCACCTATGGATTTACCAGTGGATACTGCTCATATAAGACTCAGCGAGGATGGTAGGAGGATCCTTAGCTATTCGAAAATGCTCCAAGAAAGTCTATCAAATGATGGGAGTGAGGGCATAAAACAGTTGGATTCTGCTCTCCAATAATACACATTTGTAATTAATAATTGTTCACATTTCCAAGCTGCCACACCCATGGAGTGGTTTTCAAAATGTCTTCAAGGAATCTTACAGATGAGTATTCCACAGAATAATACTTTTCAGATGCTCTCAGAATGTTCTAGGATATTGTCTCAATACGAGTGCCAGGAGTGTATTAAGCCGTTGTATGTCTGCATAAACTGACATTGGTGCTTCTTGCTTATTTCAGACAGCATCCATTTACTAAAAGCAAGTCTGACTCAGGTTTGTATACTTGCAATGTAAGTTTTCAGATGAAGAAACATTCATGGCTACCTATTAAGGCCATCTTTGCATGTACTGATACGGATGATTTGTTGGTCTGACATCTGATGTCTCTAAATGTTTTTCTCTGTAATTTCCCTGAGCCCCATGTAGCACAGCCAATGGCAAGTGATGGTGGGAACTGTAGATTAACATTTACCAATTACCAAATGTTCCCTGCTCCCCCTCCAAACCCCTTATTGTGATGTGCCTTTTGTTTTAAATTGGCTTCTTAAGCATTGCTCTTAAATGTTGCTAGGAGTAAGAAATACAAAGTTTATGTAAGTATCTCAAGCAATCCTCAGAAATGAGATATTGTAGGCTTAAACACACACACATACACACACACCACCAACACCACCACCAGGACGGGTGACTGTCAAGTATATTTGGATGCCACACACTGGGCTGTCTACTAATGTCACATGTGCAAGGCTATTTTTCAGTTTGTTGGTGAGATGGTTTATGTTCAGAGATATTTTTGCCTTCAGTATCACATCCCATGTTCCAGGGCTGCATCCAAGCGTAGAATGTAAAATAGTTGTGAGAGTCTGCTGTTACATTCCATGGTTCAAATCAAGTCTTGCAGACATCCCTTTAATTTACAATGTTTCCAATCAAGAGCAGAATCTATGTAGCAATTCAGGTTTTCCTGTTCACTTCTGTCCATTCATTTCCCCCCCAGAACTGGTAACTCTGGCTCCCAATCCACAAGCTGACAACTCATTCGATTCAGAGCTGAGGTTTGGGCGGGTTTGAAGGTGCAGACCTGAGAGTCTGGTGGGCCAGTGGTTTCTGACATCTTGAGGAGAGGCCAAACAGCCTATGGTATAAGCAGAGGCAGGAGCCAGCATTAAAAAGCTATTCATAGAGCATCAACTTGGAACGGGGCAAAAAAACCAAACCTGGATGTGGCTAGCAAATTAGCCTCAGTGTTTTCATGCTCTTCCAATAGCTGTCTTCCAAATTAAGTAAAGCTTGGTCAGGTCATTTCTTTTTCTGTGTGGTTGCCATTTTTTTCTCTTGTGTTGCTCCTTTTAATGTATGATACTTTGGTTTCTAATTCAGCGGAGAACTAGAAGGCACTATTAAAGGAAAGCAAACATCCGTAGATCCTGTAGCAGCTGTCAAAAGTCATTAGGAGGCATTTAAAAAAGTTAAATTATTGCCCAATGGGGTTGTAGGTATTAAGGCTATTCATAAATACAGTACTGCATGTGATATGGGGTGGAACGCCTCACACATCACATAATGGTTTATGATGTCACTATAGTGGTGTTGTTACTGCTGCTGTTTGCTTGACCTTTTTGACTAGTTAAATGATCATGTACAGAGGTAAATAACAGACCAGAAGAGAATGTGTACATTCTCCAGCTGCACAATGCAAACATAATATGGGAGAATCAAAAACATAATTTGTTGTGGCAATATATTAACATTTTCAAAGAGTAACCTGTACACACTGTAGCTAAGAGTGGAACAGTTTATTGATACCAGTACTGTAGTACTATATACTGTACTGGGCCTCTGTCAGCTTTTTAAACACTAGGTTTTAAATGTTATGGACTATGGATCTGGGTATTTCCTTACACACCATACCCACACAAACTCTTGATGCTGGCCAGCAACCAATTGCATATAAAAAGGAAATTCATATGCAATGTAGTACAGACAAAAATCAGATTGGTGTACCTTTTTATTACAATAATAAGCAAGGAAAAAGAAAACAACCACCATGTTCCTCATTCTAGAAATTATTACTCAGCCCCAAAGGAGTCAGGAAATAGCATAGCATCACAGAGTAATGGATTTGAAAGGGGTCTATAAGGCCATCGAGCCCACCCCTCTGCTCAGTGCAGGAATCCAAAGGTATAGGCTCAGAATAAAGTTTCTCTACCGTAAAATCCTCGTTTCCTGCCTTAACTGTATGTCGCCAAACTCAGGCTGTACCTCCCTTGCCAAAGCTCTTGGGGAGGACGAACAAGCAGCAGCTCCATGGCCTTTAACAGCTTTGTAACAGGTGGATATTAACATCTGCAGCTTCCCCCTTGCTGTCAGATTTCAATGTTAAATTCCCGCCTCAGAAAATTGATAAAGCACAAGAATCCGATCATATAGAAATGTGAAGCCAGGTGTTTCCTAAGCAATACGAAAGGGAAGATGCACTGTCCCCCTACTCTCCTTTTTCATTTAACAATTGCAAAGCGTAGGGGAGTGAGGACTCCTGACAACTACTATACAGCAGGTTCCGAGCAGCACTAGAGGCCTCGTTTCGCCCCCTTAGCAACAGTTACTAAGGGTTGTGTAGGAAGGGAAGGGGGCGAAAAAAAAGTGAGACGCACGGCGCATGCGCATACGAAGCGAGACGCGGTCAGCAAAGGGATGTAGGTTTGAGTACCAGGCCTCTGTCGTGAAACTGTATTGTTATTTTTTTCCCCCCACGGTGGGCGGGGGGGGGCGAGTGCTGCGCGAGACCCGGGGAAATTCCATGCTGTTCTTTGGAGGGGTGCTGGCGGCTACAGCCTGGAGGCTGGGTGAGTCCATTGTCTGGGGAGGAGGGGGGGGAAGTGAGAATGGTTCGGGATTAAATTGGGCGTTTCTATTTTTGTGGAGGGGTGTGGCTCCAATATTTTGCCAGGTTGCTTCATTACAGGCTGGATTTTATGGTAGAGTTGTCCCTTCTCATCAAGGGGAGACGACCGGATATTACAGTTTCCCCGCAACTGGTTTAAATTAGGACTGTATTCTGAGCAGAGGAGGGAAACCTATGCTGGCTGCTATTTTGGTGCCTCTGCACATTGCTCAGGAATTGTAAAGGGGGGGGGAGGATCCTGGCTGGGAATTAATTGCTCATACAATGGCCACCGTTCATAATATAATTTTTAGAATATATATTTTAATTGCATTTTAATTATTTTGCCCTTTTATTTTGCCTTTTTATTGTATTTTAAATGCTGTAAGCCGCCCAGAGACCTTCAGGTAGTGTGGGCAG